CACTGCTACCCCCATACCCATGGAATTGCACGATATGCTAGGTCGGGGTTTCTCGCATTCAGCTGAGAAATCCAATTTCGTTTTCCCTACAAACCCTGCTTAGCTATCGATTAGCCACGTGGAAATGGCCCCTGCCCCTATTTTTTTTTGCCTCTGTCTCCTCCGGTGTCTTCGGCCTTTTGGTCTCTTTCGTCTAACTGCTTTCTTCACTGAAGCCGTCGAGCCCAATCTCACCATTTGCGCCTCTGCGTGGCTCATCCCCGTAGGCATTCCCGTCTTCCCATCGTCTCGGGCGATGCGCTTTGAGCATTTGGATCTCGTGCGTCCCGGCAATTGGAATTCGCCAACTGTCTGGTCCCCGCCTTGGCGGAATTATCTCCAGCGGAGCAGAGCCGTCTCGTGCCATCGTCCTTCGTGGGTATCCATTCCCAAAGGATCAGTCAACGATTGCCTTTGATCCAACTCCTCCGTCTTGCGCCCGTCTCTCGTTCTGCCCGTACCGCGCCCAGAAACAGCGGTTCCCAGCGGGAAGTGATCGATCTCGAAGGATCCACTGATCGACACCTTATAAAGGACTGAGACAGACGCCTCGAGAGGCCAGACGCCTCGCCGTAGGTATTACAGAACTGCAGAACCCTTCTGACCCATTGACCTTTTTTTCGCCTATTGATCCCTCGCGGGATCCGCTGTTCTGGAGGCTTATCTTCCGCTGCATTCGCTGCCTCATCTTCCTCCTCCCCGCACCGTCCGCCCTCACCAACGTCGCAGCGCCGGCGTATCACACTGAACGTGTGAGATGAACCACTCACGTTACAAGACGTTTAAGAGAGGGTACACGGTCGGTACACTAAGTAAGGAATAACTGTCGTACAGCAGCACACGAAGTGTCTGAAGGATTTGAATACGGATGCAACTCAAGCAACACCGCATCGACCTCCCCCTGACAAGAATTTGGAGAAGTATTCCAGAAATAACATTATGCTACAAAGTAAAGTTTTCTTGGTGCATGGGGTACTCCAACCCCTGATCTCATGGGAGCAGTTGACCCGTCGGCAGAATGTAAAGCTGTTGACAAGGTGACTTCATCATCATCGTGTCACTCAGACTGGTATCACCGCACTCGACGCCTTGCGCGCGCACATATACACATTCATATCCTTACACCCCAAGAATTACATCCGCCGCCTTCTCGCTCACCATGTACACCGGGATCGCAATGTAGAAACCAGGGATCTTGGGGAACACGGAAGCGTCCACCACCCGCAACCCGTCCACGCCCCTCACCTTGAACTTGGAGTCCAGCACAGCCATCGAGTCGTCGTCGGTCCCAATCGGACAGGTGCAGCTGGCGTGGTGTCCCCAGGCCTCGTTCCTGATGAACTCAGGCAGGTCCGCGTCCGTCACGTTGGGCCCGGGCCAGACCTCGGTGAAACCCCCAGTCAAGGGCACCACGCTTTCGAACATCTTGCGCGAAAGCTTCATGCCCTCCACGACGGCCTGGATGTCTTTGGCGCCGTCCGCGTCGTTCTGGAAGGAGTTGAAGTCGATCTGCGGCATATCTCTGGGGTTCGCCGAACGCAGCTTCACGGTGCCCGCGCGGTTGCGGCTGTGTGCCTTGAGCGTGATCCACGACCAGTGGCGCGCGTCCTTGGTGCCGTCCGCGGAGTACCCGGGGTAGTACCCAGGGAAGGCCACAGGCGCGCCGGCGATAAAGAGGTCGGGGTCCCCCTCCGCAACGGTTGACTTCTTGACGACGCCCAGGGAGATACCGTTGGACCCGTAGATGCCCGGCGAGCTGCCGCTAGCGGTGCCCTCCTCCCACCTCTTCAGGCAGGGATCGTTGGCGGTGCCGTCGCGGATGAAGGTGCAGTCCTCGGTGATCTGAAAGTCGGTGGGCGTCTCGCCTATGACGGTGGTCTCGTAGCGGTCCTGCAGGTTGGTGCCGACGCCAGGCAGATCGACGACGACGGGGATGTCGAAAGAGGCAAGCTCGTCCTTGGGGCCGACGCCGCTGAGCTTGAGCAGCTGCGGGGTGTTGAAGGCGCCGGCGGCGACGATGACCTCGGCGGTGGCGTTGACGGATCCGGCGGTGCCCTCGTCGCTTCCGGCTCGCGGGTCTGCACGGTACAGGCTCTGGCCCGTGACGAAGTCGACGCCCACGGCCCGCGGCTTCGTTCCGCTCTGGTCGAAACGCACCTTGGTCACGAGGGTGTTGAGCTTCAGGTCGAGGTGGTACTTTCGTGTACCGTCTGTGTTCTTTGCGTTGGCGGTGTCGAGGACGAACTCGCGGGGCCCGACTCGCCTGCCGCTGTCGACGGAGATGGGGACCTGGTAGAGGCCCTCGGCGGCGTCGCGGCCGGACGAGTCGACGTTGAGGTCGCGGAGGAGGACCTCGCCGAGACCTTGGATGGTGGAGAAGATGAGGCCGATCAGGCTCTTGCCCATGGCAGAGGCGGCGGAGAGGATAACGGTGAGAAGCTTAATGTCCTTGATAACAAGTCCCAAGTCCGTCACGCTGGTCGTAAGCCAGCCGCTGAAACCGTGGCCGACGATGCCATTAGGCAGATACTCGGCGTTCTCAAGGCGCTTGAAGTATTGGCGCATGTTCGAGGCACTCCAGGAGCTGTCGCCGGTCAAGCTCGCGATGCCGTCCCAGTCAGACTTGTGCGGGTACACAGAAATCAAAGCATTGTGAGATCCGCAGCCTCCCAGCGTGCCGGCCCGAGGGTAGAGGATACCGAGGGGCTCAGCACCGGCGGGCGGGGTGAGGCCGACGTAGAGCTCTCCGGAAGACGTGCGATACGTCATCTTGGAGTCCTTCTTCTGGGCCTCGAGGTCGCTGAAGTGGTTGACATAGTAGTCCCATCGCATCGCATCGTACTCCGTCGACTGGAGGTTAAGCGCGGGCACCTTGTACGGGATGGAGTCGCCCTGGTCGTCGCCGGCGTCAATCAGCAACACCTTCTTACCGGCAATCGCAAGCCGGGCGGCGAGCGGCCCACCACCGGGGCCGGACCCGACAATCACGTAGTCGTACGAGGTATCCGTAGACTGACGCGCGTAAAGCTGCTGGCTCGGACTGGCGATGAAAGAAAGACTCGTTAGCGCGATGTCGTGCGTTGCAGATTAAGTAGTCCAAAACTCACACAGCAGAAGCTGTGGCCACGATGTAGCCCAGCAGCGCGTTCGTGACATGGTGACCCCAACGCATCTTGCCTGGAAGCTTTGAGCCGGTCTCTGAGAGGGTCGCAGTACCAAGCAACTCAAAAGAAGACCATTCTCAAAAGTTTGCGAACGTCGGCAACTCGTCTTCTTTATTAAAATGCTCCATGAAGAACCCCTCTTCAGCTGGCAAGCTGCGAATGTGCTCAATTACCACAAAAGCAACATGAGACCCGTGACTCTCCCTTGACTTTGATTAAACTTGCCGCCCCTCGTCGCTTCTTCTCCATCCACAATGCGACCTGCTTCTTTGCAATATGCATATGTCTTGCTTGTCCAAATTGGCCATCGCTATGTATGGTAGCATGGACACCACTTCACGATGAACTCAGCCTGCCGCCGTCGGCCGAGGGAACGATTGGGGAAGGACGCGGAGCACGCAACGGGGATGGCGATGCTCAAATTTGTGGGAACACGAGCGGGAGGCCGATTTGGCATTCAGATTGTTCAGGGGAGCGTTGCGAAAGAACGCAGCGGTCCGGTAGACGCGATCTTGGCATTACTATCTTGCGGGACCTCTTCATATTGAGTTGCCCTAACTCCCTGAATCATGGTTGGGATCGGGAAGGTTGGCCGATGCATCTCGGACCGCCGAGCTCGACGGCGAGCGGCTTCCCATGTTGTGCGGGGGGATAGCTCAGCCTTGGAGGGAGACATCGGGCGCTGGACTGCAGATGCGAACACAAAGGGGCAGACAACCGAGAGTGGCTTTTCATGCGTTGCAGTCCAAGCTCCCCATCAACTCTACAAACTACCCGTCATAGCTCCCACTCTATCGATGTGTGAAGGATGATACGGACAATGTCGAACAGGTTTGGCAAAAGCCCATCTCCATCGAAGAAAAAGGGGGCAAGCATTGTTTGGCTCGAGAGGCCAGGAACACGGCGCGCGACTCATGACCCCCCCCTGGGCTGATCTTCTGTTTGTCACACTCAGCTGCCCACCCGGCTGACTGAGAATTCGCGCCCCATGCATTTCCCCCCAAGACCTGTCATCCCCTCTGTCACTGGATCTGGTTAGTACCATTCACGCTGCCAAAGAAAAGCTGAAAGCCCGCTGAGTTCGTCCCATTCCCGTTGCAGCACCACGTGTGGCTCACCACACCAACGATGGCAACGATGCAGTTGTTACACACAGGCTAGACGCCTCGAGAGCCAACACAGCCATTCTTAGCCTTTGCTTAAGCCTCATCATCGAGAATGTTGTATGCTTCGCTGCGCGCTTTCTTCAATGTCCGTTGCAGATGCTTCTTTAATCAACGGAGCCTGGGTCGGAGGATGGACAAGCTCATTGGTTTCCAAACGAAGGGGCTCTAGCAGCGATTCTAGTCGCGATCCCTCGCACGTATTGATAGAATGAAGCCTCTTTTGCCACATGGCAATGAGACACATCAGCCACGGCGTCCTGTCCAATGAAGAATGAATGGAAGCGTCATTTGTCCTGCTCGTCTGGTACCAAGAACCTGGTGGCCGAACTGTTCAATCCGTATCCGTACAGCCGTTCTAGAGTCGGTTTCTCCCGCATTGTCCGCTTTCGTCCACGCAATACGCAACACTCGGCCTATCGCGCTGAGTGGCACTTTCGCTTCGAACTTTGATCCGTCGAGGTTTTTATGTAGCGCTGCCTGCTGTGTCCGGGGCCATGTTGTCTCTTGAGGATTTTCTCTTTCCTTTTTTCTTTTTTCTTTTGTTTTGCTATTTGAAATATCCGCATCGCCCTCCAAGCCTTGCTGTTGCGGCCGACAGGTTTAAGTCTGTCAGTGTAAGGGTGCGTCCAAGATGCATTTGGTGCGGGTTGCTGCGGGCGTCCTGCTGCTGGCGGCCCACGCCGCCGGCCAGTCCACACCAAAGTTGAATTCCTCGGCGATCACCACGCTCCTCGCTGGGACCCCGGCCTGCGCTGTAAGTATCTGTCTCTCTTGAGTCGATGATTCCATGTCTTTCCAAATATCGCCGAAAGGGGATCTTCACCCACCAGCCACATCTTGGCATTTGCATCGCCGCATGCTCACCAGACCTAGATGCTATGCTTCGCCCAGGGGTTCCAAGCAGGGAACTGTACGATGGCCGGTCTCACAGACTGTGTCTGTACCAACATTCCCCTGCAAGCCGGGGTGTCTGCATGTGTGCAGACGTCTTGCATCTTCGACCAGCAAGTCGGTTCGTGTTATCCTGTACTGCCCCATCAATGAAGACCATCGACTAACACTCGCCAAGCCACCGCTGAGATATCGCAACAACTATGCCGTGGGTACCCAATACCAGAGCGTCGACGATTTTCAAAAGTCTTCTCCATTGTCCTACCTTCCATAAGCGCCGCGACGGTGGCTCTTCGGTGTGTCGCGAGATGGACGGTCACGAACCAGCTCTGGTGGGATGACTGGACAGCCTTGATGGGCTTGGTGCGTTGCGAACTTGTCTACTATCGAGACTCGCCTCTGACTTGAATGCAGTTCTTTCTCATAGTGACAGCAGTACTGGGCTACTATAGTGAGCATTCTCACTACCCCAGATGAGACTCAAAGCTAATGATCATAGATGCCGGCCTCGGCTTTGGTATTCATTATTGGGATGTTGAGCCAGGGAAAGGAAAGACCATCTTACAGGTGAGCTACGATCCTCAACCGTCGTTCTCCCCCCACTTACGTATTCACATTCGGTGACAGATATTCTACGTTCTGCAAATGCTCTACATATTCGTACTGTAAGTCATTCCAATATCAGCGACTGGGGTCGACCTCCTAATAACAATGATTCAGCATCTCCGCGAAGTCATCGATATGCTGTTTTTACTCTCGGGTATTCACCAACAACAAGCGATTCCGGCGGGTCACAACAGGGGTTACGGTATTCCTCCTAACACATGGCCTCATGTTCTTCTTCCTCGTTACATTCCAATGCCTCCCCATTGAAGCCATATGGAACCGACGAATCGAAGGCCGCTGTCTCGATTACGCAGCGCTCGGCTATGGAGGTGCTGCCGTCAGCATCTTTGAAGACCTAATCCTATTCATCATTCCCATCCCAGAGCTCATGAAGCTACAGCTGTGCAGGAAGAAGAAGCTCGCCCTTGTCTTCATGTTTAGCGTGGCGTCATTGTGAGTATCTTCCAGTCGTTGCGTGGTGGCACCAGCTAACAACAATGCGCAGTGCTTGTATCGCCAGCATGATCCGCCTCAAATACATGGTTTCATATGCCAACACCTACGACGCGACATGTAAGATCCTACGGAACACATTGATGAGCCCCATTCTAATCCAGCCGAATTAGGGGACAACGTTGACATTGTTCTGTGGTCTTCCATTGAACTCAACGCGGCAATCATCTGCGGCAGTCTTCCTGCGTTACGGCCTCTATTCAAGAAGATTCCCGGCATTCTCACCACTGTCAAAACGACTCTGCAGAGCGGATACCACAGAAATTCGCGGGATCCGTCTGGAACAGCAAATTCGAACGCCTCGCATCATTCCATTGCACTGTCGTCTGAGGCCTCGCCACGGAAGCCGATTCAACCCAGGAAATTTAGGAGTGGTTCAACTGCAAAGGATACACATGTAACGACAGATACCAGGGTTGACGCGACAAGTACAGATGGTTCGGAGCGGCATGAGTGGATGGACAAGTCGACGTTGTGCTAGATACCTATTGATTTATTTTTTATGTCAATTACTATGTGTTGCGATACCCTCAATCTGAGCCGCAGCCTCACCGCCTATCACGTGACGTGTGGTATTTCATAAGCTATATATATAGATATTAGCCTATAATATAAAGCACCCTTCTAAATAGTTACTCTTATAATACACTTTTATTTCTTAACAACCTATATATTTATAACTTATAAAAGTTATAAGTTTAGCTTTATCAATAGCTAAGATTACCTCTTTATTATAAGTTATATATAAGAAACCTATTTTTATCCTTTTTACTAACTTCTTTATTATTTTTATCTATTACATTCTCCATTAATAATAAAATTTCTTTCATAAGAGATATTCTTATATTAAAAAGTAATTAACCTATATAATATATTTATTTTAAGTTCTATATATATTTAAGAAGCTCTTAAAACTACATTAACTTAGACATAAGTAATTATATTAGCTTTTTATAAATAACTATAGTTTTAAAAGATTCTAAATTTATTATTAAGTATTAAACCTTTTTAAATATAAAATATTAAGAAAACTACAATAAATAAATAAAATAGTATTTAAAAAAAGCTAAATATTTAATAAAAGCTATCAAAACTATATTAGAAAATATCTATCTAATTATAAAAACTTTAAAACAAAAGAAAAATAAACACTATTTCAAATGAAATGAGAGAATTATTTTCCTTTTTAAAGTCTCTATAGATATTTTAAATTACTATTTATAACAATATTAAATTAGAATGTAATATAATAGTAAAAAATCATACAATAACTTCTTTAGACTAATAAATCTTTTTAATATACTATTTTAACCTCAAAATATAAATTAATAAATAGTTTTAAACTTTATTTTAATTAACATTAAATCAGCTATTTTAAATAATAAATCTTAATTAGAAATAACTCTACAAATTTTTAGATATAAAATTAAAGAAATAACTTATATTTATTACATTAATAATTATTAATGTAATTTCAAAAAACTATTTTTATTTATTTGAAAAAGCTAATTTTAATATTAGCTTTTGTATGTAGTACATAAAATAATATTATTACTATATAGAGGTAAAAAAAACTTAATATTTTAGAAATCTAAAGAGAATTAATATTATAAACTTTCCTTAAAGTAATTAAATATTAATTTATGTTAAATTAAATTTATATTTAGTTTATATAACATATTATAAATATTAGTCTAAGGTGTCTAATATATATTTTGGAGTAATCTCAAATTATCTTTTTAGTTTTAGTTTATAAATATTTATTTATTAAGAGGTTTTAAAAATTAAATATACTTTTTACTATTTTAAAAAAGAAGTTTAATAACCTCTCTAATATACATCTTAATAGCTATTTATGCAGGGAAAAATATTTTTAAACCACTAAAATATATAGATATTTAAGAGATATTTATAAAAACTTCTACAAGTTTTATTAGATCTCTATAAATAATAATAAAACTTAAGAAATCTTTTTAAACTTAATTAAAATAAACAGATGGATATTAAGATTATAATTATATATAAAAATAGATTTTAAACTAAATTAGTAATATTAATTATAGAAAAAAGTAGTTTATATAATGAGAAAAAGCTAATAATATAGAAATTATAGTAGAAAAACTAGTTATAATAATAAATCTAAGTAAAAGTTAAATATTAAATTCTTATTTAATATTATAGTTATATTAATCAATCTATAAATCTTTTTTAAAATAATTATATTAGAAATATATTTATTTAATATTTCTACTTTACTACATATCTTTTTATATAATGTAATTTATAGTAACTATAATACTATATAACATGGTTCATCAGTCAGCCGGCTGGACCAGTCAGCTGGACGTTTTTTCCCGCGTACACAACAACATCTAGTATTTCTCAACCACAACGTATTAAATCAACTATTAGTTGTCGCTATCAGAATCTCCTGAGGGTTTAACATCTTTGGAACAGGTTCGCGCGTTATGCCTAGTCTCACCATACATACCACAGCGTCTCCAAGCTGGCTAGGCTCTCTTTGATGGACCCCCCTCGTCGTCCTCTTGAGGTGCTGGACGTTTCCCTTTTTGTTTCCCTTTAAGTAAAACCTGAGATTCCTCTATACTAAGTGCCCCTTTAAGCTAGACTAACGTTCTTTTAGCCCTCTGGCGCTTAGTAAGTGCTATATTTACATCCTTAAGGGTATAAAGCTAATTAGTTAAAATAGTGATTAAGTGTGCTATTACCTGTGCACCCTTTGATAATTGCTTAACTATAGTAATAATTAGTATTAGTAAGCTTCTTTAATAAGTAGAGATATAACTTTTGATAAAGTTAGACTATGAGATAGTTTATTATAGGTTAGAGGGCGTTTATAACTGCTAAGGTGGTGGTGTTAAAGGGTTAGCTATAGGAGGTGTAAGCATCTGTAAATATATATCAAGCTTTTTGATAATATGGTCTGGGTCCTATGGTGAAATTCCAGCGCCTTAGAAAGCAGACCTGATGTTTTCCTCATTAAAAATCTTATTATAGGCCTAGTGGAAGGCAATAAAGAACTCAGACTTAGTAATATAATTTATAGAGGCTTTGATGAATTAGTTGATTTTATCACTATATATGCGTTTTAAAGGCAAATAAAGGGTAATATCTAATAGCTGTAGTAGATATAATAAATATGCAGGCATACTAACGGTTATAATATTGTTCTGCTTGCAGTAATTATTGAACTCAGCTGATAAATAGCTTTTGTAGCTGTTGATAATAAGCATCTAATAGACGCCCTTCATTTGGTTCTTAGTGTGTTTATTAAAGTGTTTAATCTAGTTAAGACCTATCTGATTATCCGTCTATCTATTAGCAGTAGGTTTGATCACCTAGTTGCCCAGAAAACCTGATTCCATGGTCTAACTGGTAAGGTGATATACGCCCTTGACGATCATAAACGGAGGGATGCACCACCCGCCCGAATTGATATATTTAATAACTGTAGCCTATTCATAATTGCTAGGCTGGACAGACTTTGCTTTGCTGCGTCGATCAGCATATGTTACCACTATTGACGTGGTGATTATGCCTATCATAAAGCCAGTTTCATCAAAATTATATAGGTCCCCCTCTTAGATGCCATACTCAGCTATCATATTGCATAATAGCGCAAACCACTTTAATATAACCTTAGGATCTTCTTAAAGAGCCCTTTAATAATCATATAGATAATTAAACTTAGTTTTCAGAGCAGGCTGTGAGTCCACAAACCGCCTGGCCTATCGCTTGCTAATAGGCTTGCTATTACACGCTTGCAGCAGGAGATTAGCTATATCTTCCATACTGCTGAGGCGTAAAGGAAGTCCTTTAGAATCCTATTTAATAACATATTAGAGAAGTGTTTTCTCTTTAATTAGATTGAGTTTATATCGTTAGGGTTAGGCAGGTTCACATCAGGGTCGATCGTTCATTCTATGGCGTATAGAACTTTCAGGGACACTGTAAGTCTTCGCAGCATGCAACACACTTAGCTTTCGGCCGGCGGCGCGGGCTGATCGGATGGCCTCGATGGCTAGAAGTATCTTGTCTTCTTGTGTGTAAATTGGCATGATGGTTGCAGAGTAATTACGCGTTGAAGCTTTAAGTGGTTTGGTGCAAACCGCGTTTGGGAAAAAGTTCGTTACTGACTGATATTTGTTGCTGACTGATAAACCACGTTATAATAACTCTTATTATAAAAACGTTTTATATTATAATAGCTTTAGCTATTTAATTTGATTTTGAAACATAATAGCTTAAAGTAAATAGTATTTCTTAAGTATAGAGAAAGATTTAAATAAGTGTTTAATTTATTCTTAGCTTTTAGAAAGTTTTAAATAGAAAAAGAATTTATAAAGCTTAATAAAGCTTTATATAGCTTTAAAGATATATCTCTCCTCTAATATAAATATTTCTTAGTAATTTTAAAAAAACTAGAGTTTATTTTAAATTCAAAAAAGTATATCTTTTTTAAGATCCTAAATATTAAGTTTTGGTTTATTTTACATAGATAATACTTTTATTTTATATTATTAAAATCATTTTTCTTTAAATAAAATAAATTATTAATAAACTAAAAACTAAATATAAATTTAGTAATTAAAATATTATTAAATATTATCTTAATATTTGAATAATTAGAAACTATATAACTTAAAAAGTCTATTTAATGTATAACTTATATATTAAGAAAGTTATTAAATATTTTAATCCTTTAAAAAGAATATATCTTATAATTTTATTACTTCTTAAAGAACTTAAAAAGAATACAAAATAAACTTTGTCTACATATATAAAAAGGTATGAAAAAAGAATTAGTTCTATATTTTATTTAGCAATAATCATATATCTAAATATAGTTTTTATAGCTATATATGTCTTATATTCTTTTATAAACCTTTTATTAGCTTATATAATAATAATTAACTAAACAATTTAATACCTCTATGAAATATATCTTTTTACGTTTTATTTTAGAGATATAAGAAATATATAAACTCTTTAGATTATACATAATATTTTATTCGCTAATAATAAAAGAATATAGAAATCAGCTTAAAAATATATTACATTTCTCTTTAGAGGTATAATATATTAAAAAGCTATATATCAAAATATTATTATAATATCTATAATAAGAATAAAGCTTCTAAGCTTAAAACTATTAAAAACTAATAATAATATTTAAGAAACTCTTCTAAAATATAGCGTTAAGTATAAAAAAGAATATTTAGAAGCTTAATTATAATAATTAATAAATAGTTTAATTTATAGTTAGTAATAAAAAATATATTACAATCTATCTCTACTATATAGATATCTACAATATATAGTTATAATAAAAGTTCTAAAAAAGTAGTTTTAATATAACCTATATATTTATAAATTTAATATTTATTAATAGTTTTGTAAAAAACCTTTCTAGAAATAAGTTTAAATATTTTTACATATTACTAAACTTAATAAATATATATATATTTATTATAAAGAATACAAAGTAAAAATATTAAAGAATAAAATAATATAATAGCTAAAAGGTTTATATTTAGGTTTTTAGCTAAGAAGCTTAATTTAGTTTATAAAAGCTTAAAAATAAGTCTTAAATATTTTAAAAATAAATATTATTTTAAGCTAAAGCTTCAAATATATATAGAAACCTCTTAAACTTAATAATAAAGCTTACCTTTAATAAATATAAATAATAATAATAAGTATATCTAACTAGTTTTATTGATATTAAGTTAAAATAGCTATAAAAAGTTTACTAGTTATAATAAAACTAAAAGAAACTCTCTATTTACTATTAAATAAAGAGAAGATAATAAAAATAATATTAAAAGTAGTAAGTATAATAAAAAAAGTAATAAATATAATAAGTATAATAGAAGCTAAAAGAGGAGTAAATATAAAAATAGAAGTAACTAGAAATATAAAAGTAAGTATAATAAAAATAGTTGTCTTAATAATGCTATTTTAAGTGAAAATAAGAGTATGTTAAATTTCAGGTTTTTAGTAATTAAGATTTTATATTTAAAGTTAGAAAAAGATTAAAAAAACTGTTTTAAAATACAAAAAACACTTTTAAAATTAAGAAATATGTTTTTAAAATATTATATTTATAGCTTAATTAATAGAATTAAGTTTAATAACTTTTTAGAAATAATAACTAAAAAGTATTACAATAAGTATTAAAACGATATAAAAATAACTATAAGAGGTAAGAATATATAAGATATATTAATTCTTTTTATAATACTTTATATTAGAAATATTAATAGCTATAAATATAAAATTATAATAGTAACCTTAAGGTTTATTTATAAAACTAGACCTAAAATACTTTTTATAAAAGACCTTATAATAGAGTGGTTTTCAAAAAGCTATTTTAAATAATTAATATAACGTCTTTAATATTTAAAACTACTCTAAATAATATATATATATAAAATATTAGATTTATTTTTATTTTTAACATCTTTAATAATAAAATAGAGAGGATAAGGAGGGGAAAATATAGAGAAGCTAAAAAGTAAAATAGACTCCTTATTATTATTATTATTATTAGAGATAGAAGGGGAGCTAATCATAATAGCAATAATATTAATAATAGCCTTTTTATATTTATACGCCTTATATATAAACAGTAGCTTTTCTTTTCTTAATGAATATTATAAATTTTGATTTATAAAACAGTTAGTAAAAATTCTAGTAATTATATTAAATAACCTAATAATTATTTTTATAATATATAAATATTATAATAAGTAATTTAGGATTTATAAGATTTAATTTTAATAGAATATAAAAAGTCTTAAAAAGAATTTAATTATAAAAAAGTATAAAAGGCTTTATTTACCTCTACTATTTATACTTAATAGTTTATACTAATTACATTTAGAAATTTTATTAATTCTAAATATATTTATAACCTATTTTAATAACTAAATAACCTCATTAAATACTCTTATATTTTATAAATATAACTGTAAATATAAATTTTCTTTATTTATTTATTTTATTATTTTAAAAGCTATTTTTGTATGTTTTATATAATAAATTTAAATAGGTTTTAAATATATAGTAGTAAGAAATAAGGTTTTTAGCTATTTATAACATTTAAAGGAGTGTGTTAAAATACCTTTAATCTAAACTATAGCCTTATTACCTATTATATAACGTGTTGTATTATATAAGCTATATAGATAGATATTAGCCTATAATATAAACCACCCTTTTAAATAGTTACTGCTATAATACACCTTTATTTCCTAATAACCTATATGCCTATAACTCGCAAGACTATATACTTATTCAGTTTTGATTTCAAGCCTAATGAACACAAAAAAAGTCACTCGAACTGAGCAAGCAAAGGAGCATTGCTATCTAGTGAGAACATAATTCCTCTTGCTAACTTATAAACTACATAACTATAATAATTATCATGATTTTCGTCGTCATCGTTGTCTTCGTCTTCATTATCATCGTTTTCGCCTTAGGTTTTGTTACCGTTGTCGTCATTCTTCTTATCGTTATATATTTGTCATAGAAATGATTATTCCTATTGTCCTATTATCCCATCTACCCGGTAAGCTGGAAACAGGCGCCCGGATAGCAAAAGTCAAGCACGAATACCTGCGCGAGCCCAGGTGCCCTTTCGTTCTGGTTCCGGTGGGGCGGCGTTAACCCCTGGATCGGGGATATCTCCGAT